ATTTTGATGGAGCTGGGGTTGTGGCTCAGTGGTAGAGCACTTGCGTAGCATGTGTGAGGCATTGGGTTTGATTCTAAACATTGCATACAAATAAATAGAACAAAGGTCCATTGAAAACTAAAAAAAAAAATTTAATTGCATTTTGAAATTGTTTCTTTAAAGAATTACTTTATCCAGCTGTTTTCACTTACAAGTTTTTGCAGAGTGAGAGAAAACATGAAGACCTGAATATTTCTAGCCAAACCAAGAGCAAAAGTATTGAAGTGAGGGAGGAGACTCCCCATGATAAAGCCAGTTAAGAAAAAATCTGCTAGAAAAACAAAACCCACTTGTGTTTGGCAAAATTGCCTTCCAGGCATGAAATTAAATTTGTGTTTATGTTGGAAATGATCGAAGTAAATGCAGGGAGGAGGAGAAGTGTGTATGGTGTACGTAGCAAGGGTGAGAGCAGGAAAAGTGGAGGGACCAGGCAATATTTACAAGAAAGAAGAGGAAATTCATTTTCAATCCAGGAAGGGAAAAAAGGGTAGTATTTTTCCCTTGGAGAAAGTTTAACACTGAATGAGAATGGAAAGTATTAGAGAGATCACTCCACCTAAGGTATGTAAAACCTATATGACACAATACTACGGACTACCTTAGATTGTGTAAGGACAGGTTGCCATGGAATGGTTTTACAGGACAAGAGTGGGGGAGGAATGAGCCTGAAAAGAAGGGAAGTCTGTGGAGTTGGTGAATTGGACTAGAAGGGAATATTCGGGAAGTTATTTCAGCACCCAGTTGCCCTTGGACAGCAGTGGTTTAACAATCCTGGCAACTATTGCAAGTGCTTGCTCTCTATGCTCTCATTCCTTTCTTCCTTGATTTCTTTCTCTCCTTTTTCTCTTTACTCCTCTCTTCTTAAAAAATTGCATTCCCCCCTCCCCCCTTTCTCTCTCTTTCTCTCTCTCTCTCTAATATCTCCCTTCTCCTTGTTTACCAGCAGGCTCCTTCTGGAGCCTCACTCTAGCACCATCCCCCTCCTTGACAGGACTGAGGATTTGAAGAGAACAGCATTTGGTGAAGTGAGTTTTAATGGCTTAGAAGGGGATGGTGAGGGGATGGAGAAGAGCTCTTAACAGAATTTTTTTAAAAGAGGCTATTTTTATTGCTTTTTTGTTTGTTTTCTGGAGCATTCTGGTGAGTTCCTATTTCCCTGCTTCTCAGGACCGTGTTTGTGAGTCATGTGGAAAGTGCATGTGGTATTGGTTACAATTCTGGAGTCCCTTCAGCTGTCAGAGATTCCTTAATCCCTTGATTGTTTACAGACATGTCCACAAGAGAGGTTAGAGATCTGGAATGACTTGAGAAATGCCTATGAGGTTACTGGATTTACTGTGAGGGTCATGGTGAGCTATACAGCATCTGGTGAAAAGGGGACTGTGCTTTGATCCCACTAGATATCTTTAGTTTCCAACTTGCTAGGAAGCCCTTTGCACATTATTATTGACATTCTCAACCAGTCATTAGCTCAAAGGGCATTGGAGTTCTCTCTTACCATTGTGTCTCTCTAAAGTTGGTGGAAGTTTCCAGAGGTGGCAAGTCTGCATCAGGTATATATGAGAAGCAAAAGAAACTGGACTATTTCCTGTTGGATTTGCATAGCTGTAACCTCACTAGGCCCTATAAGGAGCAGAGAAAGAAAAGGAGGCTGTGCTGCTATTAGCTCACACATCACACTGCAGGGAATTGGCACTAAACCTGAAAGGAATGAGATGTTTTCCTTCTAACAGTGCACACTTTTATCACTTAAATAAACAGGAAACAACCACAGAAACTAGAAATGGGATGGTGCTCAGAGTTATAAATAGGCTTATTGTAAGTTACAAATAGGCTTATTATATGAACAATAAACAATAACACAAGAAGTGTATATGGGTGAGTTAGGGAAGAATGGAAAGAAAGTGATGAGACTTTCTGGAATTAGGGGCAGATGGTTAGCCTCAGGGGAAAATATTTCTTTTAAGCTTCTGAGTATCAAGTTTTTAAATTTACTGCAGTTCTTTTTTTGGATCCTGTGTGTTTTTTCCTCTAGGTGTTCAGGTTCCTTGCATGTTTATCCTAAATGTTCCAATGCACCTTTCATGTAACCCTTTTAACTCACAGCCCCTTTTAACTATGATTTCACATATTTTGAGAAGTTATTTCTCTATACATCAGTGACAGGAAAATGGGCATTTGTATAAATTCTCTGGAAGAAACTTTGACTCTTAGAATAGGAAGGAGTGTTAAGATAGCACTTGAAAATAAATGGTCATAAAGTGAAGAGAATGAAGACCAGGATATGAATAACATTAAAATAGAAAGTTTATGCTAGCCTTTTAAGTCTGAATAGAAACTAAACTTTTAACACTATAGTCATCTTTTGGTAGAGGAGAAAGTGATACTCTCCTCCCCCTCCGAGCAAGGGCCACAAGCCTGATTACAATAAGCCTATTTATAACTCTGAGCACCATCCCATTTCTAGTTGTTAAAAATGTATATAATAACTTCAATTTCAACACATAAACATTGATTTTTAAAAATTAAATATCTTTCATAAAAATTTCACAATTATCTAATTTTCACTTATTAGTGTGTACCACTGAACATTGTGATTTACAATTTATTTTATACAGATTTTTAAAACTTCAGCTATCATAGGCATAAGTTACTCTAATAGCCATAGAGTAAATCTGCCTTATGGTGATGCAACTAAAAATCTTCATTTAAAGAGAGATTGGATAACATTGTGGTCAAGTGTAAATGTATGTGTATATATTTTCTTACATCTTGCCATTAGACTCACCTGGTATAAAACTAAACTATTTTATGGAGTCATCTATGCTATTTGGAGGGGCATACATTCTGATTTTCTGATTACTATAAACATTACTTTAGGGTTATCTAGGTAAATGTAGTAGACAATCAGAAAAGAAAATGTATAATTATTTTGGATTTGAAATAATGGGAGATATTGGGGAAGTTTTTAATGTGTAGTGATAACTGCCAAATATCCACAATTTCTCATTTATTTTCTCTTTTTTGGTGGAGGGCTTCAGGGATTGATCTCAGGGGCTCTCCAACCACTACTGAGCCACAATCCCCAGCCCTATTTTATATTTTATTTAGAGACAGAGTCTCACTGAGTTGCCTAGTGCCTCGCTGTTGCTGAGGCTGGCTTTGAACTTGTAACCCTCCTGCCTCAGCCTCCCAAGTCTCTGAGATTACAGGTATGCGCCACTGCGCCTTGCCTCATTTATTTTAATCCCATTTATATTAATATAACAAGAGCTAATTTTAAATTGCTTTCTCTGTAATACGGCAGCTAAATCACTAGATACTCTCATGATACAGAGATCACTTTTATCACATTTAATTCAAGTTATTTGCTTTGATTTTCACTACTTTTACAATTGTTGGTATCTCTGCTTTGGGAAAAGAAAAATTCTTTGCAGTTTTGAGAACTGCAAAAAATAAATAAAGCCTGACTGTTAAGATAATTTAGTTTAAAAGGTTTATCTACTTTATTCCTACAAAGTTATTGTAATAGTTTTTACTTAAACAGTTTTCTCCTCTAGTTCTTAGCAACCTAATCATAGAATTTGATTTGAGCAACCAAGTACTTATTTGAAATTATAGCTCTATTTTTCAAAAGCAAAATAACAAAACAGTGGGCATCTTACATTTTTTCATCATGAAACAAGATACAAAGTAATAACTATGAAGGGATGGGGACTCTTTCTGGCTCCACCAGACTTATTTTGTTCAGATATCCCACTCTGTATTTTATAAAATATTATTCCTTTCAGATTCAAATCAATCAAATATGAATCATTCGTTTTCTTTTGGGTTAAAGTAAAACTATAATCTTTACTTCAATAGAGCAAAAGCAATGCAAGATGCTTCTGTGAGATTATTAACACTGTTTCATAACTTTTTTCATGTACTGCACTATTAATATTGGCCAGGGCATTTTGTCTTATTGAATACAGCATGAATGCATCAAAGCAATCATCATGTTTTCTTCCTTATATAAGGAAAATGCTATTTTTTTCTGAAATTGGTATCTCTATTTGTAAAGGAATGTTTGGATGTGAGTAACCCATAATTAAATATTGCACTGTTGTTTCCAGCTATTTCTCACAGGCATTAATATTATTTCTTGGAAACAAATGCAGTATGTCAAAATATTCATTTCCTGTAAAAAAAAAATACCTATTTCCTGTAGTCAAATAATATTTCATACTTCCTTGGACTGATGAAATACAGTACACTAGGAGACCAAAATCTGTCTATATATGTATTGGTAGTATGTGTGATTATATAACTTGAATATTTCTAAAGTCCAGGAACTCACTTCTGTATATACTCATTTAATATAGATAGGGAAACTAGTTAAAACTTCTGTTTTAGAACAATAATACAAGCTTTAGAAAAACTTACCATGAGGCTTAATGGCTAGTTGAAAAAAAAATGTTGAATAGTTAAAACATTTTTAAAAGTCATAGTTTAAAAACATTTCTAAGTTCCTGGGTTCAGTCCTTTGTACAAAAATGCAATTGATGAGACTTATCCCACATTATTCAATATGTTTTAGATGAAATAGAAAAAAATTATAAGGTACTTTTGTTCAAACTACTCTTCCTTTACCATCCTTTTTCAATTTCCTTTTGTGAAGTGATTCTTAAATTATGTTCCCCTGACCAGGAGCATTAATATCATCTGGGGGAGTTGTTATAAATGCAGATACTCAGGCTCTACCTTTGTCCAATTGAATTAGAAACTCTGGAGTTTGGACCCAGAAATTTGTGTGTTGACAAGCCCCCCATATAACTCTCATTCATGCTAAAATTTTAGAGCCATTGTATTAAAGTAATATTTTCTATCTTCTGTGAGTGTATATGTATATAATTTGTTGGAATCCTGGCCAGGAGCATCAAATTACTTGTATTTATCTCTTTTTGTTTTTCTTTCTTCAGACTAGTTGTTGTTTCATGACTTTATTCATTAATAATATGAAAATTGCTGTCGTCACTGAAAGATCTGCTGAATCATCATATTAAATATAGTGCATCTTTGAAAGTTATCCTTCCCATGTAAGTCTTTTATTTTTATTCTTCTTATAATACCTGAGAATAGAATCTATTTTGATGTATTTATACAAACGTGGATTATCTTATTCTAATTATGATACCAGTCTTGTGGATTGCACACAATGTTGAGACTCACCATGTTGTATTATGTGTGTGTGTGTGTGTGTGTGTGTGTGTATATATAAACTTATGTCAGATTCATTCTGCTGTCTTTTATATTCCTGTGGCTGCGTTCCTTCATTCCCCTTTGTCTAATCCACTGAACTTCCTTAAGTCACTTCTCATTTCCTTTGAAAGTAATAGTTATAGCATTAATATAAGAAAACAGTGGCTTAACCCCTTTTTACTTTCCATAGTCAGAGGCACTATAAGGTTTTGGCAGGGAGAACAATTATACTTTATTTTACAAGTATCCATTTATAGTCCTTGGTAAATTCTTGACAAATCTTTTGCTTTACTTTGCATTTTCAGATGAATTTAATTGGTTAAATAATTAAAATCACTTTTTTTTTAATTTCAGGGTTTTTTAGTCAGATACATTATAGGGAAACCAATCTTTTTAACTACATGGGGAAAGAATTAGCCTAAAGGATAAGTAAATTGGGAAAGTCTGAGTAAGATTTATATGATCTGTAAAAATGAACTGGTGATCTTCACATTTTGACAATGATTAGAAATTTCAGGTTTTGTACTTGTGTTAAGGCTTATGAAAAAGCACTGAAGAGTTTGAATTTGGACATACAGCCCATGAAAATATAACTTTATACTTCATGTTCAAAAGTGTACTTTCAGTAACTGAGAGCTGTATTGTACCCAACATAGTACTGTAAGGAATGTAGATGGTTTTGTTAAACTTGTTCCCTCTTTATATTTAGCTGTGCTTTTTATTTAGCCATAAAGATCACATTCAGCAAATTCAATTTGTTTCCCAAGTTTTCAAATGTGTTATTTCTATCTTTGATGTATGGTGGATTGACAGTACTATATGAAGTATGACAGTTAATGCTGAGCCATAGTCCATAGTTGAAAATAAGTCTTACTACTTTAATGTCATATTTAAAATTTGTGTTAATAGCATAGCAGTATTGTCTATTATATTAAAATGGACAAGAGCAAAAGAAGAGCACTATTTCCATCAAATCTTGACTATCCATGTTAATAGAAGTGTGCATTATGGGAACTCTATCCATTGCATTCCATATCAATGCAAATGACCAATATTTATGTCATTGTGACATATATTTCATTATATTTTGTGTGCTCATATGTCTAAACGTGCATATGTTTGTGTGTATGTGTCAGATTTTTTATAATTATGTGTTTTTTCTAATGTAATTTATAAATTCATAATGTATTTACTATACATATAGAAGTAGAAATGATCATGAGATAGTAGCTTAGAGTTCCTCAGTAATATAATAATTTAATGGAAAAAACATTTTAAAAAACAGCTTATGAAGTTATGGTAAGAGAAATGTAAAATTAAAAACATAAATGATTGTCAAAACTCTTGAGTTTAACAGTTGTTCATTCAACATACCATTTTCCCCACATACTAGCAAGTTCTCTGCATTATTATTTTCTTATACTTAGGAAATACTAGGTCTAAATTACTCTATATATGTAATGTTTAAAGCTCTCTAGATAATTCCAAAGACTAGAAAGTTTTGGAATCGTGAACACAGGCAATTAGGTGGCAAGTGGAATGTTGAACATTGATGAACAGTTTCCTTGTGCCACTTTCCTATCATAAAGTGAAATTAAAATTTGTACTTCTTTCTTTTCTTTGCAAGGTCTTACTATGATTCTGTTCCTTCCTTCTTCCTCTAATATCTATAAACAGATCCATGACATTTAATAGGGATTTCTAGTTTTCATTTGAAAGACACTTATTATCAAGGACTTCTATGTTCTGGCAATTAGCTAATTTAAGTGTGTCTTTGGGTGGTTTTATTCAAAAACTTCTTTATGAAAAATAATATGTTAAGTTTGATAATGCCAATATAGCAACATTAATATTGTCCTTTATTTTCATGATTTATGTGGAGATTGTAGGTCTAGGATTAGGTCATTGAATATATTCTATTTAATATTGTTGCATTATCTTATACAAAACAGTGGGATTTATTGTTATTTATTTGTACATGCAAAATATAACAGTATAATTTAGTGAGTTTCATTCCCCAGTTTTCCCCCTTTCACTTTCCCCCTTCCCTTCCTTCCTCTGGTTTCCTTTTCTCTGTTGTTTATCTCCCTTTTATTTCCACAATATCCTCCTCAATTTTTTTCTCCTTTTTTCTCTCTAGGTTCCACAGATGATAGGCAATATATGACCATTATCTTTCTTGGTTTGGCTTATTTCATTTAGCACTATGTTTTCCAGTTTAATTCATTTACCAGCAAGTAACATAATTGCATTGTTCTTTATTGCTAAACAAAATTCCGTTGGTGTATACATATTACATTTTCTTCATCTATCCATCCATTCACTAATAGATACCTGGGCTGGTTACATAATTTAGATTTTGTAAACTGTGCTGCTATAAACATGGATATGCATTTATCAATACATTATGTTGACTTTAATGTTTTTAAGTTAATTACCGAGATGTGGTATATGTGGGTCATATGGTGATCCATCCCTGGTCTTTTGAGGAACCTCCGTACTGATTTTCATAGTGGTTGTACTAATTTATAATCCCACCAAGAGTTCAGAAGTATTTCTTCCCCCCCACACACATCTTTTCCAATGGTTATTGTTATTTGTATTCATGAAGGCTACCATTCTAACTGGAGTGAGATGAAAACCTCAGTATAGTTTTATTTACATTTCCCTTATTGCTGAAGATATTGAATATTTGTTTGTTCACCATTTGATTCTTCTTTTGAGTTGTGTCTGTTTAGTTCCTTTGCATATTTATTGATTAGAATTTTTTGGTATTAAATTTTTTTAGTTCTTTATATATTCTGATTATTAATCCTCTATAAGAAGAGTACCTATCATATATTTTTTCTTTCTGAAGGATTTGTCTTCATGTTCTTTTTTCCTTTTACTGGGCAGAAGCTTTTTAATTTGATGCCATCCCATATACTAATTTCTCATATTATTTCCTGAGGTTTAGATATATATTATTTGGTGCCTGTACCAATATGTTGAAGTGTTGACCCTGCAGTTTCTTCAAACAGTTATAAAGTTTCTGGTCTAATTTCTAGTTCTTCAATCCATTTTATTTTATTTCATTTTAATATTTTTAGCTGTAGATGGACAGAATACATTTATTTTATTTATTTATTGTTATAAATAAATAAACCTCAGCTATACAATCTATTTTAAGTTGACTGTATGCAGGGTGAAATATAGGGATTTAGTTTCACATATTCTACATATAGATATCCAGTTTTCTTAGCAGCATTTATTAGACAGTTATCTTTTTACAATGAATGTTTTGGGTGGCTTTGGTAAAGATCAGATGATTATCTGTTTGGGTTAATCTTTGTGCCTTCTATTATATTCTGTTCTCGTCTTTTTTCTGTTTTTTTTTTCTGCTATCATGCAGTTTTTGATATCACTGCTTTCTAGTGTAATTTGTAGTCAGGTGTTGTTGTACCTCTAGTCCTGTTCTTTTGCTCAGTATTGCTTTGGTTATTCTGGAATATTTATTCTTCTTTATGAATTTTAGGACTGGTATTTTTTCTGGTTCTATGAGTAATGTCATTGGTATTTAGATAGGGATTACACTGAATCAGTAAATCACTTTTTGTTACATGGACATTTAAAGAGTATATATTCTGTATATCCATCAATATGGCAGGTCTTTCCATCTTCTAGTGTCTTCTTCAATTACTTTGTTCAGCATTATGGATTTTTGTTGTAGTAGTCTTTTACCTTTATGATTAGATTTATTTCTAGGGTTGTTTAAGGTTATCATTAGTGGAATTATTTTCCTGATTTCTTTTATAGCAAATTCATTATTGGTGTATAGGAAAACTATGATTTTTATGTGCTGGTTTTGTATCCTGCTACTTTGCTGAATTTCTTTCTTAACTCTATAAGACTTCTGGTAGAATTTTTTGGATTTTCTAAGTATAGGATCATATCCTCTCCAAACAAGTGATAATGTGACTTATTCATTTCCCACGTGTATTTCTTTTATTTCCTTCTCTTACCTGATTGTTCTGGCTGGATTTTCAAGAATTTTATTAAATAGGAGTGAAGGGTTTGGACATCCTTCATTGTTCATGAGTTTAGAGGAATTGCTTTCTTTTTATCCAGGCCATTGATTTTTTTCTTCTTTGCACTAACACTAATAAAGAAAATTTCCATTAAGGAAAGGAAAATTTTCATTTGAAAAATAAGCTTTCATATTAAGGAGAAATTTTAGAACATTTTTCTATAACATCAATTAAAACTATATAGTTTATATGTGATGTTTCTAAAATATTAGGATAATTTGTTCTTCCTAAAACTTTTATATTAATTCACCCAGTGTTAACGACTATTACTTTTCCAAATTGAGAATTTGAGAATTAAAAAAAGAACTGTTAGCTTCAAATAATTCAATGATAATGCCAGGAAAGCAAATTTAAAATCAGGATTTCAAGTTCATATTGCATGTACTATCAATTCATTAGCATCTTCCTCTTTCCAATATCCAAAAGGCACTATGCAGATCATTTTACTTGATGGATGAATGAACACAATAAAAAAAATTTTTTGTAGTCAATTCAGACAATCAGTTTTTAAGCATTGATTTGACTATTCACATATCAGATTTTACACACATTTGCAATTAGTGTAGCTTCAAATAAAATACAACCCATCAAATGACCATTTTATCACCAAACAAAGATAGACATTAAGTCTTTAGTTCTTTCTTATGAGAATTGCATATAGAAAATCAGATTGTTTTGTCTTCTTATTGTTGCTGAATTGGACCTTAGAAAAAGGGCTTAAATTACCAAAGTCTGTTCCACAGATGTCAGATAAGGTAATTAAATTTTTCCTAGCTTGACTAGGGAATTATGTTAAACTCTAAATATTTGGCTTGCTCTAAAAACCCCATAGACAGGCAATATAAGAATGACATCCATAAAAATCTGTCTTAAGAATCATATAGTTTTTATTTCTGTTATTCAGAAAAGAATGCCTAATTTCAAAATTATGCCCACAATGAACTTTAGTTTCCTAGATTTATTTGCTTACACACCTTAATAGAGCATATATTCACTGTAATTATTCCGAAATAATTATATCTAATTACACTTATAGTGTTTATACACACTAGAAAATTTTAATTTCCTGACACTCCCCTAATTGTCAAATTTTATATTATATTGCACATCTGTATATACTTTTTCAAGCTCAGAATTCTTATGCTTTTGTATATTATTCCACTTATTTTTGGCACAAAATAGTTTAATTTGATTTTCATTTCAAAGTAACATTCGCTGTATCCTTCAACTGATGTTTCTTAAAGGACTTCTGTATTCATAGAAGAGGTGATGAACTTGGTACCGTCCTTAACCTCAGTAAATCCAAGGAATTAATATTCAATGAATGACTTCAGTAATATTCCTTAAAATGTGAACATAAATGAATATGAAATGATGTTTATGATAATGGTCTTATATTTGTGGAATAAAGATACGTTGTTTTTAGGCACTGTAATATTCAGTCTATGTGATCTAACAAACTCAGACATGCAGTCTAATTTTACTTTTTGTTTATGACAATTAACCTCAATGATGTACTATGATTACACTGTGAACAAAATTTACACCACCCAAACAAATAACACTATTTTGATGTTTACATAAAGATTGAAAAAGGTCAATATTTTACATCAACAGTAATCATAGCTCCAAAAAATACATGAGAAATCTGTTTACATTTACCAGTGAATCTAACAAATTTTGATAATAATCATCATGGCTTTTATTTTACTAGATTTAAACATAATCATGTAAATTGAGAATTTATTTCCTAGTATTAGCTTGGTTTATGTTAAAGTTAACTGTGGGTTGGGTGTAGTGATGCATGCCTGTAGTTCTAGCAACTCAGACGTCTGAGGCAGAAGGATTGCAAATTCAAAGCCAGCCTCAGCAATTTAGAGAGGCCCTAATCAACTTAGGGAAGCTTTGTCTTAAAATAAAAATTAAAAAATATAGCGGATATAGGTCAGTGGTAATGCTTAGCTGATATTAAAAAAAAGTAAGTCTGTTTTTAACTATTTCATATACTTTAGTTATAACAGTGGTTTTAAGATGCTAATATTTCCTCTCAATGTTTTGCTTGTTCCCTAGTTGATCTACTGACTTCATAATGTCTGAAATCAGATTCAGCAATCTCACTTGGGAGCAAGTTATAACACTGGATCACGTGTTAGAGGAAGTAATTCCAATTCATGGACGGGGAAATTTCCCCACACTGGAGGTAAAACCAAAAGATATCATTCATATTGTGAAAGATCAACTCATAGAGCAAGGAATTATTGTTAAAGATACCAGATTGAATGGTTCCACAGCAAGTTACATACTTGCAAGCCATAATGGAATCATCTATAAAGATCTGGACATAATTTTTGGTGTTGAACTTCCAAGTGATCAGGAATTTCAGGTAGTTAAGGATTCAGTTCTAGGTTGTCTACTTGACTTTTTACCAAAAGGTGTAAAAAAGGAAAAGATTACCCTAAAGACAATGAAAGAGGCTTATGTGCAGAAGATGGTCAAAGTTTGCAATAAGCATGATCGTTGGAGTCTCATCTCTCTTTCAAATAACACTGGGAAGAATGTAGAATTAAAATTTGTGAATTCACTCAGACGACAATTCGAATTTAGTGTAGATTCCTTTCAAATCCTTTTGGATCCCATGCTAGACTTCTACAGCAACAAAAGTGCTAAGCTAGCCAAAGAATTCTATCCTGTTGTTGTAGCTGAAAGTATGTATGGAGACTTCCAAGAAGCAATGATACATTTGAAATACAAGCTGATATCTACCAGGAAACCTGAAGAGATTAGAGGTGGTGGCCTTTTGAAATATAGTAACTTGCTGGTTCGTGACTTCAAGCCAGCTTGTGAAGCAGAAATCAAGACCCTGGAACGTTATATGTGTTCTAGATTCTTCATTGATTTTCCTGATGTAGGAGAACAACAAAAGAAAATTGAATCATACCTCCGCAACCATTTCATAGGTGAAGAAAAGAGCAAATATGACTACCTTATGACCTTGCGTGGAGTTGTGAACCAAAGCACTGTTTGTCTAATGGGACATGAAAGAAGACAGACTCTCAACATGATCACCCTTATGGCTTTAAAAGTACTTGGAGAACAGAATATTCTACCCAATACAGACAATGTAACTTGCTTTTATCAACCTGCTCCATACTTAGTTGCTGAGGGAGGGTATCCTGTTTATTATGTAACATCTGGGCCACCACCCATTTTCTTCCAGCCATATCATGCATTGCACTTTCATGTGCCAAATGGTATGGTTTAAGAAATGCAGATACAATAGAAACTTTGCTTTAACTGAATACCTCTTAAAAGCAAAGTTTCTGAAGTCTACAAAATTCACAAGATCTGGTTTTATTTTTTGTGCCATTACCAACAAATTTCCATCAATTACTGTTTATACCACCATAGTAAACACAATGTCATCTGTGAACTGACAGCTTTAAATGCTTTTTGAATGTTATTGACTGGTTTTAACTTTCAAATGTTATGGACCAATTGAAATGATTTTCAGATCTTGCTGAGGACTTAAGACTTTCAAATTTGCTGTGACAAATACATTTGAGATGCCTGCATCTTTGACTAAAATGTAAGAACACCGCTCAAGTTTTAATTCTGAGGTACAGTGAAGACAAGTGTCAAATTTTTGTATTCAATCAATTATTTTATTATACTCCATTTTTTTCTAGTGAGTAATACCATCGATGAATTCTCAGTACTTAATAGAAATGTGTAAATTTAAAGACAACAGATTCAGAAGATATTAAAGCCCTGGACTTTGTAAGCATTTATTTTGTTTCCCAATTAAATTAGTTTGGGTTCAAACTCTGGCTTTAGTTTGAAAAAACACTGGAAAAATGGTTCTGAAAATATTGGAATTAGTAAATTATCATTTAAAAACAAGATACTTAACCAATTTGTTGTTTAGAAAAATAATACCGCCCAGGTGTACAGTCAGTGCTGTGACTGGTTATGCAGGATTCATTCTCTTTATTTTTTCCTGAAATAACTTGAAAAGAATGAAATTCTCTGAATGTTAAACCTTTCTGTCATCATCTGTTAAAACAAAATTCTGAATGGCAAAAAGGAGAAAAAAAAAGTGGCAGCGGTTTTTACCGGTGTCATTTACAATTTGCCCAACATCTTAATATATCTGGAAACATTCACTTTTAGTAAGTGAAAGTTTTTTTCTTTATCACTCAATGAAGCATTTTCTTCATTATAACATTACCTAAGGTTTCTAATATGCCACTCAAGTGCCTCCTAGGGTTAGACTTTACATAACACTGTAATTTATTCAGTGATTGCATATGTTTACAATATATCTGAATATCTACTCATTTTGTATCAGATATTACTAGCAAATCTGCCAGTGGGGATTCAAAATGAATATCCTTTACATAATGAAAATGACCCCATGGCCAGTATTATTTGGATTATAGAAGGGGAACTGACATGAAAGTATCATTAAGACCATCAGAAAACTTCTATATTTTTACTTGCTTCTAATTCTGAATTTTTTCTGAGTTTTCATCTCAGTTTTTATTGACCATCAAAAGTTTATACATCACAAGTCCTAACAGTTATATTCTGAGAATTTGTCAATGATAGACTATTTTAACCTGTCTTCTCTGTATTACAATACAGAACACAAGAAGTACACCTTATATGGCATTTTCAAATAATATTCAATATTTCTGACATTTTATACCAGAGCAATATATTTTTAAATAATTGTATTATGTCATCACAGAACCCTGAGGCTTTAAAACAAATGGACTTTTTCCCTTTTGGGACAAATAAAGAATTTATAAATAATACATTAAAAAGAAAATTCAGCAATCTATACTTTGTATTGACTAAAGACGATTGATCATTCTTTCCCAAATATACTCTTTACTTTGAAGTTAGTAGAAATGCATGTACATAAGACTAAAGGTATTTATCAGTAACAAAATATAATTCTAAAATATATAGAAAAATGTTTAAGAATAAAAAAACTATGTTAATGATGTCAATGGTGAAGGTTCAGTATTTTCCAAAGTGACGTTTTATAATGAATAATAGAATTCTTATGATGTTTAGAAACATCCCTGTGTGCTCCTATAACTGCCTTTAGTCTTACTGGGAATTAAGACTCTTGTCTTCCTTAAAAAGTGATTTCTTCATGGTATTTGCTAAAACTTTAAATCATAATGGAAGAATAGTCTGATATCTTTATTTTTTCTCCTAACACATCAAGCATGTATTTCTCTTGGGGAGAAAAGTTCAAAACTGTTATGTAAGATTTTCTCAAGAGAGAATCTTAACATATTGAATGGGAATGACATAACAGAAGAGAAAGCTCTGGATTTATTTCTCATGACTTTTGTTTATAGATACTATCATTAAATTAGGCTTTCCTTTGTCCCTAACTAACCAGAAAAAAATAAATTATTTATCTTCAATTGTATATGAGTGTCTCCCCAGGATTAGGCTAATTTCCTTGAAAAGCAGTGTTATCTCATTCTGTTCCATTAGGATAATAAATGGGAAACTTTTACATCAGTCAATTAATGCAATCTTCACCTAAAGGAGTTAATAGAAATTAGTACTTAAAACTTCACTCTAGAGCATGTGTCATCCCATTACTAGAGAGACTACTTACTCTGTGACCATTTCATTTTGTGCAAATCCAGGCGTGTTTTTGGTTTAAAAAGCCTTTTTTCCCCAGAAGCTTAACCCCAAACAAAAAAGAAAAATCTATATGGTGAGATAAATTTGGTATCTGCTGCAGAAAAACATTCTTTAAAACCAGAATATTCTTATATTTCACAAACATCTACACATTATTATCAAAGTTCTACTAGTAGGGTTATCTGTAACTTAAATTTAGAAGTATTCTTCTAATAGTGACTTATGTCCAGTTTAATCAAAGAAAATTGAAACAGAAGGATTATCTAGTTTGGGCAAATAACCTAGCTGAATTCAAGACAAAATTACAGAGCTAGAATAGCTGTGAACTGCACCTCCAGCAAACTAGGAAAGTATCCGGTACCCAAATTCCATTTTCTATATAAGTAAGATCCTACTAAATTTAGCTTCCAAATTGTAAAGGGTCTTTAAAATTTGTGTTTAAAATCACTTTTTGTTTTAGGCATTAATAAAGATAGTATATAAAATGCTTTAGATATAATTAAAAGTTCTTTCAGTCAGTGTATTATTTGAAGGATTTCAACTTTAAAAATATGGAAAGGTAAAACATAATTGAGAAAATTGAAGTTTTAAAGTTTGTCATTCTTTTCAAAGTTATATTGATTTAGGAAAACAATCTTTCAATTCATAGAATGTTTAAGAAATATTTTATTTTATATATTAACATTTAAACAAGATTGGAAGGTGCATGTGAAATCAAATTGATAAACATACTCATGAAAATGACTTTTGCAAGGCATAAAACATTTCAACCTACTGTGCATTCCATTTGCTTTACCATTATAAAATATATGTAATGATGTTTTGTTTTCAATTGTGCTGTCCTTTATATTCTTTATACAATTTCATAGTTTATGTAATGGTTGTTGGAAATTGTATTGCATATCTGCTGCTGCTTTTTTGAACATTTATTCAGCATGTTTAACTAAAAGTAGCAAATTTGTCAGACTGTCAGTATATTGTTGTTAGTTGCTTTCTTTAGAAAACAGTTTTCCCTGATTTTTGCAGGTTTGAGCAAAAACATACCATTTGGAGTATATAATGTTTGGATAGCAGTTTAGCATGTAACTGGTAAACTTTGAGCTTAATATGTGACTTTTAAAATTGCTTTATTATGAGAGTGTGCAAATATTATTCACAAAATTTTGGCATTTAAAGTAGTGCTACACGGATTGCATTAGTGTTTGAAACTAGAACATCAGCAGCAGCAACAACTTTTTGTTAGCTGTAACCCTTGAAAGAGCAATGGATGATTTATAGATGAATACTATGTGCATGTGATTCCTTTGGCCATTCAAAAAGATAAACCTCCCTATCTATAAAAATAGTACCATATGGATAAACCATTTCATACCTCAGGACAAAATAACGAACTCCTGTCAATGCATAAAATGTCCTAATGGAGACATGTCTTGAAATGGCCCTCTTTGCCAGCTATTCTTAGAGTTCCCAAATTAAAAGTGATAGATTAAATAAACCAAGGAATACAATTTAATGGTAATTTATGACAACTTATTCTAGGACTGGTGGTAGACTTTGAAGCATTCTCTAAAATGTTAATTAAGTAATCTACTTTATATTATAAATAGATATGATCCAGGCATACTTAGTCATTTGACTCAACTAATTAATCCAGAAACATGGGAATGATTGTTGTTTTAGCATTGGTACATCTCTGGAGGTTTTAGTAGGAAAGATTTTTGTTGAAAATGACAGCAGTGTGTAGTATGAGTATTCTAATATCATATTCATCAATTTCATTCTTAGAGAAGGACAAAATAAAGTTTTCTATAAAAAGTGGGACTTTAATACCACAAGAAAAATTATAAAGATAATATAATGTGCTTGTAATATCAGAGTTTAAAATTTTCTGTATGATCATTTTAGCCACTAGCTAAATTTTCATTGAAATATAAATTGATATTTGATAGTAATTGACTTACATTTTCTGTTTTAAAAGTTTTTAAAAATATTCACCTTCCCCCAATAAAATTAGAGTCAACACAAAAATATATTAGCAGATGCTTATGCAAATAAAATTGTAAATTATTGTATAAGTCTTATATATGATCTCTTTGAACAAAGGATCTCTGTAAATTATGTTACTTCTTGTTTTGTGAGTTTTGTAGAAAAGCTTTGGGACACTGATGATTAAATGCCTTCAAAAACCAATGATTGCAGTGAACTCCAATTAGCTGTTGTCAAATAACTACTACAGCTCCATATTTTCTGTGAAGCAAAATGCTTTCAGATACTATTATCAGGTAAAAAGTGTAAATTATAACAAGTTTTTGGATTAAATATTGATTTAATTTGAGAGCAATTTAATACATATTTAAAGTGAAAGACAATGTTTTCTCCCAGGTAAATAATACATGTACTGAAAGAGAACCTATGCCAGGGAAGTTAAAGTTATCTGATTTAGAAATGTTAAGGACCATATTTAATATGTTGCAAATAGATTTATATGAAATTATGTGCCCATTTCTAAGTTAAGGAGAATACCTTGTAAACGAGATATATAAATCCTAGCAATCCTGACAGTTTCCAAATGAGAGCATGCAGTCTATTTTCCTGAAGAGCAAGAGTTTAGCTGATTTTAAATTTATATTTAACCTATGTTCAAAAGTACAATATTGCATGTATTAATGGAATACCATGCCAAGTTTTGAGACAGGTACAAATTGCATAATATTTAAATTGGGTCTAACTTGCTTATCTCCTAAATATTTGACATTTCTTTATGGTGCAAAATTTAAAAATAATTTCTTCTAGCTTTTTTAGCTATTAATTATCATTTAGGTATTAATATTTTTAGGTATCAGTGCATTATTTTTGTTTATAGTCACCCTTCTGAAGAGAACAACCTTTTAATCATTTGTTTTTCCTCCACCTTTTCCTTGTATATTAAATGACACTTCTCTGTTCTCACTGTGATTATATGCAAAAAATTAAGAAAAATCTGGGGAAGTTTATTACCATTTATATTATCAAAAGGTAAAATTGCACTATTTCCAATTTTAGTTCCTAGTTAAGAGAGTATCTGGAGATATCATGATTATTGAGTCAGGGAAGATTGTGTTCCTAGATGGTCCCATTCTATAAAAAACAAGTATCAATATATATGTATAGCAGAGAATTCAATTTCAGGATCCTCTGACTTTTCAAGGTTACCTAGGAATTTTAAAAGCACAGTAAATTAGAAGCCATGATTTTAGAGATAAAAATTCACTTTTCAGTTCTGGAACTCTAGGCAACTCTGAATGTGAAGAAATCACCTGATTGGCTTATTGTTTCATTGAGTTTAGAGTGATGTAAATTATGAACTAATTTATCAGTGAGTAGTAGTCCTTTTAACCATTGTTATATGCTATTATATCATTTTTTAACGAAAGTTTTATTTCAGCTTATAAGTGTAAGACAAAAAACATTTATACTTTTCCAAAAACAGAAACCAAATTTCGGTTGGGATTTAATATATAACATTATGTCAAACACATGAAATTTTAAAATTTGTACATAATTAATATTACATTAAAACAAAACCATTAATAGATATCTTCATAAATTATAATGCAATGTCACACTTCTTGAATAACTAAATATCAGTATATTATATGTATTTCATTCTATTTTAAGTGTCTTTCATTAAAGACAGGAAATAATCTGTTGAATTATCTAAATCTTCCTGATTGCAATCTATTAACATTGGATGATATTGCCTTGTAACTATGTTTTCAATTTCCCTTTAAATTCTTTAACCCAACTTAGTTTTCATTTTAATAGATGACTTATGCTAAACCATAAGATGACATGTCAAATAATGACTGTTATGTATGATATTTTGCTGTTGTAAAACTCATTCCATATATCTCTAAAAATGGTATTCACTTTATATCCATACATTGTCAATAGATTTAATTGAAAATGAACATTCACTTTGGAAACTTGTGGCAAAATCTTTAATCTCAGATATTTCCCTTTAAACTGAGTGAAACCAGTGTTAGTAACTTTTTCTTCTAGTTTGAAAGGTATAAACAACTACAAAATTCTTTAAAGTTCATCTGTGTGGTAAGTAAATGTCTCAACCTGCACAAAAAAGAATTAAAGCAATTATCCAGACAATTCAGACCAGAAACATGTAACTTAGACTATGCTGTGAATAATAAAAGATGAAAATTAATTATTTATGGTCCACATTATTGAATAATTGCATTTGTCCATATAAACTAGATAAAAACTATTGGTTATGATAAAAAAATTCTGTAGTACCATTCAATGAGACATAAAACAATTCATCTGTTGAGAATAAATTTAAAGTTAGAAAGTCTGACTTCAGACCTAAGAAAACAAATTACATTCATTTGTATTTCTCTTAAAGATATGTTTCAAGTTTCAGTAAATTCACATACAGATGTTTATCATTAAAGAAAATACCAGTGAAAAATATTATAGTCAGAGTGGGAAACTAAGTAGTAAAATCTCAGTGTAGTTGCCCAGAATACAGTAAAATTGCTTATGTGATTTTCTACATTATTATATCAAAAAGAATGATCTACATTTTAACATGAAACAATTCAGCTTTTTTGGAAATCAGTGAATGTAAATGTAGTTATAAAGTTTTTATGTGCCTTTTTAATATTTATATTTTAGATTTAAGTGGACACGATATCTTTATTTTTATGTGGTGCTGAGGATCAAACCCAGAGTGCCTCATGCATGCTAGGCAAGCACACTATTAGGTGCCTTTTTAGTCTT